AAAAGTATTAAAATTTGCTAGAAGCGCTCGAGGTGCACTGCTATTTGCACGCGTCTGGTATATATCGTCGAGGTAGCGACTGTAACATTTTTGATAAGCCCGCAGTTTCTCCCAGAAGAGGTCAGAGTTTAACTTTAGAATGGGGTAGAATTTTGTAAACAACTGGTAAAAGCTGCACAAACCTGATACATTTCTTGAACTGAATAAACCTGCAACATTTCCACATGCGGGCGCAAATCTTGACCGCTCGCACTTTTTGACATTAGTTCTACTTGCATACGTCCACTTAAATCTTCACTACTGTCCTCATCCAACTTGAAGAGCTTTTGAGCCATTATCGGTCACATTTGGCTCTTGGAAGAAAAACAAATAAGTAAAAAACTCTTATATTAAGCTGATCATCAATGATTTTTGACACGAGAATCGCACTTGTTAAGCATTTGTTAGGATATAACGCAAATTTCTTCGATATTCCCCGAAAATGACACCACTCAAAAAGATTGAATCAGAAAGCCGCGCAGCGAAACCAGCAAGCGTAGTAGCCTGGCTCCTAAAGACCAGATTTTTTCCACTGTCCATCTCACTAGATCAGTACTATAAGACTGTAGATGATCTGCTACATAAATCTGTAACCAATGATCATACAGAAAGGTCATTTTCTCTGTACGGTGAATTCTGAAATAATTAGCTCAAAAGTCACATAATTTTAGTAGACCTATTTGCACGCCGTTTCGCCGAGTGATACAGACCCGCTGTAAAACTGTCACAATGTCGATAAGAAGCTTTTTGAAAAGCGTAGCCTGTTTAACGTCGACATTGACACCACTGCATCTATCTCTATCCATTTTGCTGTTTTGTATCTATTTATCGATATTACGAATGAATCATTAAAACGTTTGAGACACTGAACTGTGACTTTCCAGAAATGAACAACGAAGCATTGGCAGCTTTCAAACGTTGCTGTGAGGCTGTCTCTCCGTATGCTTGTGTAAAACAGTTATGCTTTTTTCTGTTGTTTTCCTCCCTCAGTCCTAATTTTTCTAATTCTAACATGTTTTAGGCATTGCGCCTCACAAATGAGAAACTTACAGTAACAACTTCCTCATGCAATGCTTCCATCAATGTAAATAGTGGAACTCGCTTCGTACTCACTGCCTTCGGCAAAGCCTCTATAGCGATGACCGGAGCAGCCGAAGAAGTGCTTGGCTCGAGACTGCATAGTGGGATTGTGATAGCCCCAAATGTCGGGGATATCAGGCAAGTTTTAAAACCCAATTCAACTCAACTTTTCTTGGCACATGCTCATGATACCAAATATCTAGAATCAGACGTACTATGAGCTGAGTGAGGGATTGGGAACTGAAAGCCTGACCTTGAAAAAGGTGCTGTGAAACGGAGTTTTGCGAGCAATTTACTACATATTTTACCGGACCGGCAAAAAAAGTAGTTTTATAAAATTCCAGAAACCCAACCCAGAGATAGCTTATGGAGGTACCCTTCTTTCTACATTATTTTTGTATATTCCCCCTCCCCCTCAAAGAAAACGTGAGGTGATACACTCAGAGTTGCTTTCTTATGGTCCCATTCGATCGATAAGCTTTCAAAGTCCTCTGACATTGTAGAGAAAGTTTAGCGTTTGAGCAATGGAATGATATGTTGATAATTAAAATGCTATAAATTGGCAAAGAAAAACCTGGAAACTTCGCTCAATTCCATATACACTTTTATAAAATCCTCCTTATGACTTCTCATTCAGCGCTTCCCCTAATCTACGCTCTCAAGTGTTTCGGGGAGCCCGGAATAATTTGCCTGATATGGATTCGGTTACGGCTACTCAAAGAGCATTGGAGATCTTGTACAAAAATGATGCGGTCGACACTGTCTTCTTGTTTCTAATATCAGGTAAATGTTTTAGATTTAGTTTTTTTATCAACAAATGGGCGCCAAAACCGCGCCATCGCTATACTATGCATTTGTCTGCATTACTGACACAACTACGAATACAAGTTCTCTTGAACTTTAAATACCTCATTCACAGGTGGTGGTTCCGCCCTATTCTGCGCTCCCGATGGAATAACCCTAGAGGAAAAATTGTCGACAATAAAAGCACTAACTGAAAATGGTGCCGATATTCGGGTTCTCAATGCTTTTCGTCAGAAGCTCTCAACTGTGAAAGGAGGAAAAACTCTGAACTATATCACGAAGGGAGAGGTACGGGATCCAACTCTTCCGAAAATCGGGAGTTGCTAACAATTCTGATTCAGGTGATTGCCTTGATTATCTCTGATCTAGTCAGCAATCAAATCCAATTCATAGCTAGTGGTCCGACAATCCCTCAAACGAAAACAATGTTAGAAATGTCGGAAGCGCTTACAACCTCACCAAAATGGACTGCTCTTTTACCAGAGAAGATATTGGCTAAGCTGAAGGTGAACATCAGCAGTGTGCCGGTGTCGAGACAGAGAAAAGTCCTAGTCCAAGGCCGACATTCCTTTAGGCTATTTTCTAAAAAGTCGAAGTGGATTTCATTTAGGTCAATCCACCTTCTCCAAAAGTGAAACCGCACAATATAATTATTGCTTCAATCACGACTGCCCTTTCTGCCCTCCAGGAATTCTTCACATCCAAAGGATATCATGCACACGTTGTCACCAGCACTCTCGTAGGAAATGCAACCCAAAGAGGAAAAGATTTTGCTGAGTTGCTTATGACACCAAAGGAGAACTTGCACGAAGCATTACATAAGTTTGCTGGAGATTTCAATGCAAAGCTAGGAGACAAAGTAGGTACTTCTTTGTAGTTTTCTATGTTTAATAATGGTTAATTTTGTTTAGGTTGCCCTCCTATTTGGCGGTGAAACTACAGTTGTGATTCACGGTAAAGGAAAAGGCGGACGAAGTCAAGAAATGGCCCTTTCCTGCCTAACTACCCTTTCATCATCTCCGGCAAAACCCTTGCCAAAGTTCCTATTCCTCGCTGCTGGCACAGACGGACAGGACGGACCCACCGACGCTGCTGGAGCTTATATTACGAACAGCGATGTAAACAGCGACATCGTTACACGCTGTACAGACTATTTGAAAGACTCAAATTCTTACGAGTTTTGGTCCACCTACAACAATGGTACAAATCACATAAAACCTGGTCCCACTGGTACGAACGTAATGGATGTACAAATTGTTCTGTTGGAGTATGCTCAATAAATACTTTAGTCCTGCTTCATACAAAAAGGAAGCTTTCTTTATAACATTCATAGTTATATATAACAACTCTCACAGCAAATTAATAAAAAAAACCTCATGCCAAAAAACAAGACCGTACAAACTTCGTTCAGGAAACAGCCAAATTTATCACATATGTTCGGCAACCACCGCTTAATTAGGAATTCCAGATTAAGTTATATCATACACCGCGAATGGTAACATTTCGGAAATAAATAAAAGCATGGGCGCTAACCAGAAACAATACCCTAAACAACCTCGTACTTTTCGGTAATGAGACGAGTTTCCGTCGATAAAGGAACGTCTGAGTTACCATCCATGGTTTGTGCTGCGTCAACCTCAAACGAAGAAAATATGCAGAAAAAGAGAGGTAGCTCAAAACCATAAAAACAATTCAAAGTATGTCACAGGTTTACCTGGATGTCGCAATAGAGTTTCTCAGCATGGAATCGGACTTGAACAGGGAAGAAATGGTCTGAATGTCCATTAGGTACACTGAATTCCAATGTTCCATTCGAGTTTGTGCTGAACGAAGAAAGGAAATCTTTGGTGACGATACAAAAATGGTAACCTGTACCTATCAATCACGGGCATTGTCCATACAATTTGATTTCGGGCTTTCTGATAGTCGTACGATCCTTCACATTCAGATACAACGGGAGCTGTCGCCGGACTAAAACAGAAACATATGAAT